AGTAGGACAAGAGGAAAGTAAAAGGAAATAGAGGAAATAACTAGGAGGCAAAGGGCATTTATAGAGGTCTAAATACAGGCATGTACATATGTAAACATATTTACATATAATGGGGAAATAGATCTATGTGCATATATTTTTGGTTTAGTAGTAGGGTAGCAGATGGACATTGAGTCTCCACTCACGTACTCCCTCAATACAAGAACACTTTGTTCGACTGAATAGACATCCATGATACCCACCTTCCCGACACGATCGCTGAAGACAAATAGTGTGCATAAGCAAACGTGGTGAAGAAAGCTAATGGTGCCCGGCTATCAAAAGATATAGTACATGGGGTCTTAAAGGCTTGAAGGTAAACAAGCAGCCATCTAGCTGAGAAGCAACAAAGCCTACAGGGAAGAAGCACACCAGCCTGTGCGATCACGAGGTGTTGAAGGGATGAAGTAGCAGACACCAAAGAACAAAAATCATCATTGTGTGCTCACCTTCCCCACATAACTGCTGAAGACAAATATGTGCATAAGTAAGTGTGGTGAAGAAGGTTGATGATGCCCAGCTATCAAGAAATACAGCGTCTGGGGTCTTAAAGGCCTGAAGGTAAACACGCGACCATCTAGCCCAGAAGCAACAAAGCCCACATGGAAGAAGCACACCAGCCTGTGTGATCACGAGGTGTCAAGGAGACCAGGTATCAGCACTGACTTGATGGCAGTGAGCTTGGTATTTCTGGTTTTAGCTAAGGGTGAGGATCACTGCTGGCATAGTGGGATATGCATCAATCGCAAGCTTAGCAGTTCAAAATCACCAGCTGCTCCTCAGGAGAAAGAAAAAGAATCACTTGCTTTATATTTATATTTCATCTTTTTGCAAGTAAAAATTTTAAACTACCCTGGAACATTTTCTTTTAAATACTACCTCCTCCAGAGAAGAATGTGTCTCAAGGTTAATCAAGTACCCTATAGCCTCATTCCAGAAGCATTTTAAATGAAATTCTTAAGAAAACTCTTATTGTAAGCATGGATCCTAAGTATTTATGCACCTTCTAAGCCAGCATCACATCTCTAAAAAGATAATAAACAATCAATGATAGTAGCAACGTTATGACTAGACCTCAGTTTAATTTCTTTAAAAATATCCACTGAAGATTCACCTACCTCCATATACATCATCCATACAAATAATGTGGTCTCCTGCTTTTAAAAGATGAGCGATAGTCACAGTGGCTGCTAAACCGGAAGCAAAGGCCAAACCTAAAATGAAAAACAACAAAAAAAGTTAACATGAGCCCAAAAGTCAGACCAACTGGAGGGTCAGTGGTCCAGTTCTCGCCTTTCACAGAAGAGACCTCCAGTTCAATTCCCAGTCAAGGCCTTCCATGCACAGCCTCCCCTCATCTGTCAGTGGAAGCTTGCATGTTTCTGTGATTTGGAACAAATTCAGCTTTCAGACGAATATGGACTGATCTAGTTCTGACAGTCAGTTAATGAAAAGCCCGTGGATCACAACAGGTCACGTTCTGCCATGAGCTGGGGGGACTCGACAGCAGCTATAAGAACAGCATTGGTTAGAAAGCTTGCGTTGACCATCCTCTTGCTGAGTCTCAGATGTCACCTGATGAATACCACTACAGAATCTCTTTTCCCCTTTCAAAAGCGGCCTGTCTTTAAAATTAAATAATAATAATAGTAATAATGTGGACAGATACTTTTTTGCCACATCAATTCTGACTTTGTTAAAACACTTCTCTGAAACACTATGAGGAAATAATTCTTTATAGAAGACTTGATATAAAAGGGCTATTTGCAACTATAGTTTAAAAATATCAAACTCTTAAGGAATCTTAAGCTTATGGAATGAAGCCACAATAAGATTTATTCATTCGTTATATAGATATGTAACCGAAAAAAAATATTTTAACAAAACTCAAAAAGTGATCCTAGATGTGGTGGATAAATTTATTTAACGTTAATAAATACATACATGAGACTCTTCTTTTCCATTCACTATTGACTTTATTTAGCATCCTTTATAAAAATCATTAAAAGCTGATAACAACTATTGCACTCAATGGACCAATTGAGGCTAAGGGACTGCCTGGGACTACTGCCCTGAAGTACTCTTTAAACCGTGAGTGAACACTCCCCTGTGAAGTAAGTAGTCCATCTCAGTAAGTACTGCGCACATCTGAAAAATCGTATCGATGAAAGCAGGTGGTTTAAAATGACTCTAAAGCAAAGATGAAGGGTATGCGGGCAGGGAGACCAGGTTACTGTAAACAAAACATCCACAATGGAATGGCTGAGATCGCTGACACAATGTGAAAAGTGGAACCAGATTACTACACTGACCACCCTGTGGTCAATCACTAAATGCGAACCTCAATTGCTATGTAAATATTCATTGCAAACACATTACGATAATAATTTTAAATGGAGAGATATTTAAATAATATTTGTTTTATATGTTATAAGTTTATAAATCTTTACATATATGATGATGATTTCACTGTGATCTTAAATTAAAAAAAAAAAACAAGACTTAAGTAATTAATTCCTATTTTCTGATAGTACATTTCCAAGGGCACCTGGCTTTTTAAAAATGCAGCCTGGTGCTATTGTCAAGCACAAATTATCAGAGTGTACGAACTAGTCTAAGGACGTTTATATTCTCATAAGTCATATTATAAAACTGAGTTAATGTTTATCTATTTATACTGATAGCTTCAGATGAAGAGTGTATTTACATGGACTCTAAATAGTAAATGCTGCCAATTTAACTCTATTCTTATTTGTTTTTACCTGATAGTTACAACATGCATAGTACTCCCTCTGTGAGACCTTGGGCAAATGAATCAGTATTTTGAACTATCTAACATTTATTTTAAGATCCCTACACATACAGTTTGCACTCAACTGCTAACCTAGAGGTTGACTCTTCAAAATCACTCAACATTATCCTAGAATATAGGCTTGGTGATTTGCTTCCATTAAGATTAGGTCAAAAGAGAGGGAGGGGAAAAATGAGGGCCTAGTGTCGGGGGTTTAAGTGGAGAGAAAATGTTTTGAGAATAATGTACAAATGCGCTTTACACAATTGAT